AGGTAAAAATAAGTCTTAGTCGTACACTAGTAATATATATACGTAACCTAAGCCTTACGACTATATAGCCTAAGACTACTAGACTAGACTACTACTTATTATTACTATTATTATCCTTATTATCCTTTATATTATTATTATTATTATTATTATTATTACTATTATAAGGATCTATCTTAGTAACAAGTAAGAGGTTAGACTAACTAGGGTTAGTAAGTACTAGTAAAGTAAAAAAGACACTTACGTTATATTAATAAGTATTTATTATAATATTAATTAAGTAGTAGAGACCTTATAGTACGTTAACTATAATTAGGACGGCTTTAGTAGTAGTATATAAGGGCTATAAGAGGCCTTAAAGACAGGCTTAGTAAAAATAGCTCTTAATACACTAGGTAAAAGAGTACTAGTAAGGCCCTAGCTTTACCTTAAGGGTTATAAAGTAAGTAAAGACAAGATTAGCTATAATAGCGGCTTTAGTATAATTAGATAAGAGAAGTAACTTATTAAGCTTAGCTATAAACTCTTATAAGATCTTATAATAAGCTTTACGCTTAGTAGTACATTAGTTATACTTAGTCTAACTTACTTAAGTAATATAAGTAAGCTTAGGCTTAGCTACTTATGTCTTTACGTAGTAGACGTAGTAAGCGTAAGAGAGGCGTAAGAGTACGCCTTATAAGTATAGAAGTAAGTAAGGTTAGCTATAGTAAAGTAGTATTATATAAGGTAAAAAAGGGGTTAAAGAGAAAATAAGAAAAGGCATAAGATATAAGGTAATAGCTTAAGAAAGAAGGCTTAAGAAAGGTAGTACTAAAGAAGTATAAGAGGTAAGGCTACTTAATTTAAAAAGAGAGAAAAAGAAAGGTAAAAAAGAGAAAGTTTGTCTCTTTATATACTCTTTTTTAGTAGTATATTATAAGATACTTACTAATAACATAATATAAACATTTAGTAAGGCTTTATAAATAATTCTTTATATTAAACAAATTCTTACGTAGATAAGGTACTATAAGTAAAGAGTAGCTAAAGCCTTTATTATATAGCTTATTAAGAACGCGCTAGTACAAATCTAGTATAATAAGTACGCTACTATAAGTATAGATAAAGACAAAAGGTAAATAAAAGAAAGAGATATTCTTTTTTTCTTATATTTATACTATATTATTTTAAGGTTTTAAGGTAAGAATAGTTTATATATAAGGTAAGAGCTATAAGGAGAGGTATAAGGCTTACTTAGTACAGCCCTTACTTATCTTAGGTACGCGCTATAAGAAAGGAGCTTAGCTATATCTAGTATAGGTTTTACGTAACTCTAGGAAGGCACTATATCTAGTATAGCTTACACGACTCTAAGATAGAGCTATAAAAGAAAGAGGTAATGTTAGGGACTTAAAGGAGTAAGATTAGGAATACGTAGGCCTTACGTACTTATAAGTACGCTAAGGCTACTTAAGGTTCTTAGGTAGTATATATATATCTTAAGGAGTAAGGGGTAAGGAAGGAAGGTAAGAATTAGTTTAGATTTAAATTAAAGTATACTACGACTTAGAGGCTACTCGACTATAATTCTCTACTATATTACCCGTAATACTAATCTCTAACAGTATCTGGTAACTACTGTGCCGGCAGCCGGGTTCATTCTACCGCTATCCTATCTATACATTTGATTTTACGGCATTAGATAGCAAGGAAAAGTAGACAAGTATACAAGTTTACTAAAAGTGTCTACAAGATATAGATACTAGCTTACCTTACTTTAAAAGAATCTGTTTTCCTTAGTTATCGATAAGTTAAGTTACTGCCTGATTTAGATTTTGAGGTCTTGTAGTAATCTGAGCTATGTAGATAGAATCCGGACTTTTGTAGGGAATTAAGTCAGGATACTGTGTCTCTAGAGGAAGCTAGTAGTCAATCAAGCCGTGCTAGTTCGCGAGACGTTACCCTAGATAGGTACTTTACTATCTTAGAGGATTAAGAGCCTCCCCTGTGCGCCAGTTTCGAAATCCTTGCCCAAGTCAATGACGATTTTCAAATGGGAATAATTCGTACTGTGCACCTCTCGAATGTTCCCCTAAAAAATTGGGGTGGCAGATCAACAGAACGTTCGAAATTTTGACTACTTTCACCCTTCTTAGGATTAGGCCATTCTGGGAAGCACGAACAGAAAGTATTGGATTATTACCCTAAGTACGAAGTAGGACATCACAGCCCCTTTTTGGGACGCACAAGGCATGCGCTGCCGGGACGACTGCTTGGCAGGCAGTTAATCAAACAACAGCTCTGATAAACGCTGCTTTGCCTCAACCAGGTCCCACTCAACCAGGGTTCGTTCCCGAGACTCCTCCATCTTCTGCTGTACAAACGGCTCCATGGCCTGTCGCTCCTCCTCCCCTAAGAGATGCAGTCGTGTCTTCCACAAGTCCTTATCAAGAACTTCCTTGTCCCGCTCGCCAAAGAACCGCTCGTCCAAGTACGTCCAGAAGACGGCATCAAACGCCCAGCTCTTTCTAGCTGCGTAGTTGAGCCAGAAGCGGCCCATCCTCCAGCTCTCTTGCATATGCACCGAAAGTGGCAGGGCGTGGAGAAACTCGGCCCCCTTTTCCTCCTCCTCCATCGCCTCGAGCCATATCTTCAAATGTGGTTCGTAAGCCCTGCTCCACTCCTCGATACCAGAAGGCCACATTTCCGGTGTTTCGAAGAGTAACCACCAAGGAGGGTCGAGGATAAACTGCGTGGGTGCAGCATATGTGAACTCCCAGTCGATCACGGCAGCCACGCCGTCGTCTGGGCCCAGGAGGACATTGGCCGGTCTGAAGTCATCACACCAGAGGCGAAATGGGCCCGATCTGTCTGGAGCCGGACACCTTGGATGCATCGTTTTGGCGCAGGCGGACCAATCGTCTTGGACGAATCCGAATGTTGATAGCCGACCTTGTTTAGCCAGTCTTCGGAATAGCTGACGAGCGACGTACTTGTTCCTACAGTCGTCCTCGGACGAGACGAGGTCATTGTGTTGAAAGATGAGTTGTGCCAGGTGCATATTGGCTAATTCCTCGTACCATTCGTCGGCTGTTACATAGGTCTCGTTCTCCAGAGGAAGGGTAGCCGGGGGAATATGAGCGAGCTGGGTCATGCTGCTCATGTTTTGAGTAAGAGGTCGGGCGGCAATGCGGAAGGATCCATCAACCTCGACCAACGAGCCGATGAGAGGAAAGGTAGGTTTCACTACCTCCAGTAAACACGACGCGATATTGCCCCACAGACTTCGCAGCTTGCTATCGGGGAGCTCCAAGTTCAGAACGGGAGTCAGGTTGGGATCCAGACCAGGAACAGCCAGAGCGTCCGTCATGTCGCCTAGGTGTTCGATCCGGCGGAGGATGAGGAACGGCCCGACGTTGGAATCCCGACCATAATAGAGGACCTGGGCAGCCGGGATGCGCGTGTTCAGTCTTAAAAACTCCGCCGTCGCCGCCTCGTAGACGACTTTCTCGCCGGGGGAGCAGGCTGCGTAGGGCCAGGGCAGCCGCACCATGACATCGGAGAAGTCGTCTTCGCCTTCGAGATGGACCCTGTAATGGATATTGAGGCCGCCAATTACTAGTGGTGATACCAGTGTAGCAGGTTTGCCGCATTTCTGCTTGACGAGGCTTTCGACCTGGCGACAGGTGTCTTTCCTACGAAGTCGCATTTGGGACTCCTCCTCGGCATCGTCATTCTTGTCCCACGCGACATTATCGAAATTTTGCCGGGCTTTGTACATCCTCTTCTAAGCATGCGTTCAAATATTTTGAAGCTCAAGCGGGCGAGGGTAATATGAGAATCAAGATAAAGCAAGGGTTGTCTAGGTAGGTAGACAGGAAGTGGCCAGGCACGGATGGGCCAACGCTGAGGCATGCAGCATTTAAAACCGTCTATGCCGCGCAGTCGCATCTAACAGACACACATACCTCCAGATAAAGAACGAGAGTATGCCAGCAATGAACCTGCCGTGGATGAGATTTATGGCAAAAAATCATCTTCGTACTACCCGGCCCAGGGAGGGCCTGACACAGGGAGAACATCTCCTTGTACTATCAGTGCGTTTTAGTTAGTCAACCAGTGCGGTCGATTGCGAAGCATTGCTCACCATCTGATCATCAACCCAAGCATATTTCTCAGCGAATCTTTGACGAAACTATGTACTCATCAGCTCGTGGGCAATCTCAATACGGAGCGACAGTACTCGCGATTTGAAAGTGAACAGCTGGCCCTCCAAAAAAGGTGAATCCTAGGTACCAGTTTCGAAGTATCATCTCGCGGACAGGCCCCGCGAGCTTCGGTACGTCTACATCTAGGTGATGTGCCACCTTCCGCAGTGTCCGCCAGATGCTGGAAAGCATTTCGAGACAGTGTATGCCTGCTGAGATGGGTCGAGAGTTGTGGTTTTCATTTTCATCGCCGACTATCTAGCACGTGCCTCAAGTCCAGAGCCATAATGTAGCCATGGTCCCACGTGCTCTTGATGCCAAGGCAAGATTGTTGTGCCAAGTGAGTCGCGATGCATCCCGTTGGTGGACCAATCGAAGTTGAGCAGAGTGTCACTGCCGACTAACGTCTTATGTATCCTTCCTGCAAATTTTGATCCTTTTGTACTTGGCACGTTTTGACTCCGCATTTCCCCTGACAATTAACGAGTGGAAGTAGAGAATGTGGGTTAAATCAAACTAAATTTAAGTTAAAAGGTAAATGCGACGAAGACGGCCCCTAAGCGAGACCGACGATGGTCTGTCTATATCAACCAGAGGATACCCAGATAGCAGCTATAATACATCCCTTGTAGTCTATAGAAATGTAGGTGAAATATTTGCAACGCTTCTCTATTACTATGACAGCTATAAACACCGCTAATTCATACAACTTTTGAAACCCCCCTCCTGCTCAGATTTCAACCCCGTTGCTTCTTTGCTTGTTGCCCTTGCAAAACTATATGATATGCTAAGCTTATTCGGCACGAGAGTTTAGAAATGCGGCACATTCAACGCCATCAACATCAAAAGCCCCGCAATCAACCCCGCAACCGGCAATGTCAAAACCCATCCACTAAAGATCCACACCACCTGTCTCCAGTTCACAGCACGCACATCATAGTTCATCAGAGCCACCCCAACGGTAGAACCAGTCAAACACTGTGTTGTACTAACGGGCAGTGAAAGTCTGGAAGCCAACAACACAGTGATGGCTGACCCAAGCTCCATACTGAATCCGCGAGTGGGTGACAATTGAGTGATCTTATTGCCCAAGGAACGAATGATGTGGTAACCGAAGACCCAGAATCCAAGGCCTAACAACAATCCAGCAACGACAAGCATCCAGACTGGGGTTGGGGATTTGGTGGCCACGATTCCAGCCTCGTAGGTAGAATACGCAGCTGACCACGGCCCAACGGCATTGGCGACATCGTTCGAGCCATGTGCTATTGACATCAACATAGCACTGGCAACCTGAGGATATGTCCAGAGATGCTCAACTTTGTTGTCATAATGAATCGCGAATTTGTGGGTCTTGGCCAGTTTTTCAGAGGCGTGAGATACACAGTCGCGAGTGACACCTTGGAGGGCGATAAACTTGGCCCAGGACCACATTCGTTGTGGATTGTAGAGCGGAAGGTGAGCCGTGGGAGCCAGAAAGCGTTCCTGTGGTTCCATGAATCGCTTCTCTTTGACTGGCGGTAAGGGCTGGTTTTGCTCCACATCCACTGAATCTTTGACAGCGACATCTTTCTCGGAATATTGCTTATCGGGGTTGGGTGCCAGCACTGGAGAATCGGCGGGTGTGTCTCGCCTGTAAGCGTTCTCGTAGTGATCAAGCACAACTTCACCGTCAGGGTTGCCAGGGAAATAAATCCATGGATCCTCCCTCCACAGCAGGGGACCAAGTGGAATATGATAGAACTTCAGTCGGGCATCGCCACGAATCAACCTTCGATGGAAGTATGGCATGAAGAAGACATAGGCAATGAGAAGCGATCCGAAGAACACCCCCAAAATGATACCCGATGCTTTCCCGGCACCAAACTCCTCGAGTGAAGGTGCTGTTGGCGCTTCGACCACGATGAAGAGTGCCAGCATAGCCGCAGTGAACGCCAGATAGAATGGGATCAACCTCATAGCCCATTTCAGAGGCTCGTTCCGCTCCAAAACGAGATATTTGATAGTCGCGAAGATTATGGCAGAGAATCCTGCCGCGATCCCTGGAGCGATACCCCAAGACGCAGCAACCTGAGAAACACTGCCCGATTGCCACGCCCATTTGATGGGTGCTTGGGAAGCAAATCCCACGCCGATTAAAGCACCGACAGTAGTCTGGGTTGTGGAAACCGGCAGCCCAAATCTTGTGGCTATCATCAACCAAGCGGCACTCCCGATTTCAGCACAAGTCATCGCCAACATCAACACGCCAGGCTCTCCATTAAACCGATCGATAGAGATGATTCCATTCTTGATGGTGGATGTGACTCGGGCTCCTAGAGCCACAGCACCGACGAATTCAGTGATAATTGACAGGAATCCGGTTTGAACCATGGTCAGGGTCCTTGCTGCCACGGAAGTTGCGTAGGAGTTTGCGACATCGTTTGCACCGTTACCGAACGCACTGAAACAGAATGCGATGGTGATGATGGCAAGGAGCCACTATAAATTTAAAGTCAGTAAGTCGTAATTTTCCACGCAAGAGGGGGAAGCGAATTCAGAAAATCTGTGGGCATCGCGACACGCAAGATATTGACATATGATAATATGAGAGAAAGAAGAGCTCAGATAATATAACATACATCATACTGGGTCAGGGCTGCCATTTTTGGCGGTTTGAAACTGATGTGGCGAGAAGTTGTGTCGCAGGCTGAAGGGGACTTCCTTGAGAAAGCGAGTCGATATTGGACTTGATGATGGCCATTTCGAGAGTTCTATCAAGAGTTCTTGTACTCTTCATGTGCCATAGCCACAAAAGTATATGTCCGACACTCTAAACCAGTCAATCCTGCCAGATCGGACACAGGTGGTTGTCTGCGCGCTTGGCGCTTGGCGCCTAGATATTGGCATACGCCAGAAGTCTTGGGGAACGGGAATCGATGCAAGCTAGAACCCCGCTTCTGATTGACCAGCCTGACCACGTTTTTATTCTTGCTAGTGTGATAGGTCTACCTGGAGGACTTCTGCTGCGAAAATGTGGCTGGCAACATGGACGTCGCGAAATGTGGCAATAGGGCCGCGAATAACCTCATTCATCAGGTTGAGCGGCTGACGACTGAAGGGAATGGAAGGTCGAATGGAAGGTCTGGACAAGCTTGGCTAGCATGAGTTCAGGGACGTAGCGGGAAACATGTTCTTTTATTCCGACGCCTTGATGCTACAAAGTCGATGACTCGATGTATGCTTTGACTTGGCAGGAAATATGGTCTTTTATTTCAACGGCTTATGTTACAAAGTCGATGTATGCTTTGGTACTCAATTCGTGGCTTGATTCTCATAGCCAATGAACAGTCGCTCATCCCTCTAGACTTCCTCTTTTCCATCCTCTGGCCCGATATCCCCCGACTTTGCTATTCCCCACGCCCCATTCCCTATCTCCTTTCCATAATACTTCACCAAAATACCGACACAAACTGGACCGATGATAGTGTTAAGGAGAATAGCCCATACCCCAGTGATGAAACCATTCTCGCTTACATATGGCGTCTCGTTGTATCCTATTTCGATGATCAAGAGGCCAATCTCGCCACGTGCGACCATTGCACATCCCAAAAGCAATCCAGATAGCCAGGTCAACTGAGAGTTTGATCTTTTCGATACCTCCTCATGTCGGTCGCCTGGTTCGCCACTCGGTTCTTTCACCCCCTTCGATGAGCCTTGTGTTTCCAATGTCTTCGGAGGAAACAGGGCTGACCACAATGGAACCCATGCCCCAACAATGAACTGCAGGAGTGTTAGTCACTTCTTTCTACGCAATGTCATGGGGTCAACTTGCCTTTGCAAATACCATAAGAAGCGTGTAAACAATACCTCTCCAGATTCTTTTCCCAGTCCAGAGACTAACAAAAGGGATAGCAAATCCGATGCTGGCAAAAAATAAAGGCGCCATCAGATAATTCTGAACACCCAGGAGATAAGCTTCGAATGTATGCACAAATGTTGGACTCTTTTCTGCCTCACGCTCGCCCTGCTCGCGACTCGTGACCACAAACGGGCCATCAGGATACTTGCTCGGGAGGTAGGTGAGGAACGTGCCAGCAAGAAAGGCACCAAACAAAATTGAGGTTCCAGTATATGCGGCGATACTGATAAAAGCGCAAAGGACCAGAACCATGAGTAGAATGTTCGAAACATGATCGTACCGCGCAAAGGGTCGCTCAATGTAACGCCGAAAGATAGGCGCAAAGACGAATTTGGTGAAGATGGGAGTGAGAATAGCCATTGCAATTGAAGCCACAATCGGACGTCCTATGATCCAGCCAAGATTGGCATCGCCGGATCCTGGGCCTGAAAGCTTGCCCAAGTCGCCGATAACACTATTCGGATCAAAGTTAGTGGTGAGAAATGGGAGGGTGAGATCCGTACCCGGGACGTATGGGACTTTGAGCATGACTTACCTAGACATCACGAGACCAACCACATCGTCAATGACCGCAGCGCTTACAAGGACTGAGCCCACCCTGGTTTGGGCCAGATCCACGGTTGCGGAAGCTGAGGAGATGACAGCAAATGTTGTGCCTGGGTTCCCAAGTAAGCAAATTGAGAAATCCGAAGTACCTGGCAAAATAACATACCCAAAGAAGTTGCCGATAGTGCAGCTCCAATGATGAACGTCTCAACAGCCCCTAGGGTAACGTCAGCCTTATGTGCATCGCGATAAGATCAGCAAACTCCAACCATAGCCGAATCCCAAGTAAAGTAGGAGATAGGAAAGACCAATTGGAAAGGTAACGCCTGTTGCTGCTCCTAAACTGCTGAGCAGTAGATTCTGCTTGAGGAGATCAATCCGGGCGCTAAGACCACCTCGATGACGTCAGCGGAAATCGACCTATGATTGTGATCAAGAGCGAATACCCTCAAATATGATGAGAATCAGGCCAATATAACCCAGAGCAAGAAAGGTCTCCTGCCAATGCAAAATAAGAATGTTGGCCAAGGGCACCCCGTAGATGATGCCGACGGCTATCTGACCGATGATGCCAGCGCGAATTACTTTTTCCGAAAGCCATTCGGCGAGAGAAAGGAAGTAAAAGAAGGAGACTAGGATAAGGATTTGGACAACTGCGTTCGATTAATGAGGGATCAATATGTTTGGATTGTCTTGTGATGCTTACTGCCAGGTTCGTGATACGGGAGGAAGCCGCCTGCCATACCAGAAATTGAATGTTGAGATGAAGCAGTTACTTGGGCCAAAGGATCAAGCAAATGCAGAGATATCAGGATCATTCATTTAAATAAAGCCTTTGTCGTCACTCGGGAGCCAAGAGTCACTCGGGAGCCAAGAGCAGAAGACTCTGGCCGTGAATGTCCACATCCCAGACATTGGGGCAAACAATACGTCGCCCGACCCCTCGACACGTCGCCCCTCTTCCCACTAGTATGTGGGCGCCAGTGGGCATTCCAGAGTCGAACATTGGCATTGTTAGTATGCGATTAGCATACGATTGGCATTCTTACCGTTGAATATTGGCGTTGTTAGCATGTATTGGCATTCTACCGCTAAACGTTGGCGTTGGCATGCGATTGGCACCGTTGGCACGGCTGACTAAGCGGAAATGGGCTGGCAAATCCCCGGTGTGCGAATGTACATGTGCATTGTTTTTCTTGTGTACTTCTTTTTCAAGAAGCATAATCTAGTATCATTATTTCGAAGACTTTGTGAGGGTGAACTTTTCTTTTTTTATTCGCTTTTTGGCTCTAAAGGCCTAGAGCAAGCACAGTCAGTACTGATTCTCTTATCACAATCGCTCGCTTTAACACATCCGCGCTCCCCCCTATCCCGCTTTAAACCCAACTTCCCAATAACAAGAACCTCCTTCATTTGATTTGCTCATCTCCCTTCCATTACCTCCACATCATCACCACCATTCCTGCATCATGCAATCAGGCGTGCTGAACACAGGAACGCTCGCTGGGTGCAAGACCCTCGACTCCCAGATCGGGGTCTGCCGCCGCGGCATCTCGACGTGAGAGAGCCATTCGTAAATCTCTGCGTCGGACAGCGGGGCCTCATCGTCCTCATCGTCATCATAATCATAAAAATCTTCTTCGTCGTCGTCGTCTCCTTCTTCTTTTTTCTCTTCCTCTTTCTCTTCCTCTTCGTCTTCCTCTTCGTCTTCTTCTTCTTCGTCCTCGTCTTGGTCCATTTCATGCTGTGTATTCTCGCAGAGACATAGTGCAAGATGATGATCATCAACGTGATGTTCATCCACAGATGGTACAGCTTGCTCAGATACCGCATTCTGGTGCTCATCCTGATTCTCCTCATCGGCGGCATCCCAGACAAGCACCCATTCCGCATTCGAAGAGTTCGGGTTTGAAGGATGACCATTAGCAGCAAGTGGATCTGCTTCTTCTTCTTCTTCTTCCTCCTCAATTACCTCTCCAAGGTCGAGTTCGGGAATCTGGTCATCGGGAGCTAGCCATGAGGCGGTGCTGGGTGTTAAGAGATAGCTGGTTTGCGAATCGAGAGATGAGGGATAGACGGTACTGGATTCGGGGGTTGTTGGGAACATTGTGGGTTGCGAAGGCATGAAGGAGTTGGATGTGTAGTGTAGCCGGGAGTATGCCGTGGCTGGAGAGGGTTTGATTGCGGTTTGATTGGTATTGGCTTGTAGAGATATAGTCGACTTGATGCTGCTTGAAGAAATAAGGGCTGGACTGGCGGTGTCTTCGTGGGACGTCAATCAGAAGTTGATTAAACAGCTGCCAATGAACAGTGTTGCGAGGACAAAGTTCTATATGTCCAACTGTACGGACATGTATGAAGAAGTTGAGAGAGAGTATCGTATCCGACTCGGGTTGTATGAATGGGTATCGAGAGCAGAGAAACGAAAGTTAAAGATTGGAAATGCGTTGTCAAGATATGATTCCCTCGTCGATTATCAATTGATCTGTAAAGAAAGAGATGATGCAAATGAGAAAGAGATGAAATGTACATGTTTATACCAGAATCCCTTCAGTCCGCATCAAAATCGCATATTCTCAGTTCAATTCAGAATCAACAACCTAGACACTAGATACCATATTTCAGGCTCAAAGGGTTGGTCATGACTATCAAGGTCCTCGCTTCAGGAACGGGCCCCCCTTAATCGGCTCGCTACCAGCATTACAGCACACTAGACCCCCAAACCTAAACCTTAAAACCAGTGAATCACGACATGACGTGCATAATTGGGATTAAGACTGGACATTGAAATTGTGGTTTGGACTAGCCGTTGCCTCATGAGGTCCTGAATCAAGCGCACTTCGCTTGTTGGAATTCTTTCTTTCCTCAACGCGCAAAAGGTAGAAGATTTGTAGTTCCAAAACAACTTCTTCTCACCACAATAACTACTGGAATAACTTACAACCAGGTAGAGTTTATACCACTACTTTAAAGTACTCAACTCGCTCTCTGAACAGACATACGCTTGTCACCAAGGGTCCTGGATGGAAAAATTCTACAAATTCATACTTTCCCGCACCAGATACGACACTGGGCTCCTCCTTATCCTCGTCTCCATCGGCCTCTTAGCCGCAGCAAGCTGCGCAATCAAGCGATACCTCTCTCGGTACGAAAGAGAACCTGAAACCGGGGACTTCCCACCTGAAGACGAGGAACTGGTGCATTATGAGCAACTCCTCCAGCCTAGCGACGAGCAGATCTGATACTTTCAGAAAACGACACAGAATGGAGCAAACGCTTAATTGGAGGAGAGCAACCTTGATGACTCCAAGCAGCAACATGAGAAAGACAACAACGGCACCTAAGAAATTGGTAGAGTTTACCATCTTCGAAGACAAGACGGCGACTGTCGACAATATAACTGCGATTAACGACGCGCGCGCCGAGGATCAGAAAGAGCAGTTCCGGTTTTGGCTGGAGTACATTATCCAGAGGTGCGAGGTACTCTATGGACTGGAAGTTTGCGACTGGGCCTTGAGCCTTTCTCACCACGTCGATTCATTAAATGGCAACGATGTCTATGCAACAAAGTTCAAGCGCTGGAAGGAAATCATGGAGGGAAGACTGGACACATATGAAGAAATGTGGAGAGATCCAGCGGTCTGGAGGAATAATAAACTGATGGAGGATTCGGCTTTATATTGGCTGCGTTCTTTGGTTGCGAGTCTGGTGAAGGCTGGCAGGACACTCTTCCCCGACTCCTGGAGGAAAGTGTCAGTCCTTAACGAGATGCTGGCCACTCCAGCAGCTCGCTTCATCTGTGGGTATTTTGCTGGAGAGGGTCTGTCCTGGGACTGGAGAGGTCCAGATTATTATGCGCATAAGAGATCTGCGTGGCGTATGATAATGCGAGCACACCTGGACATGGAGATCGATGAAGTGGGTGTGCAGATGGTACTGAAAAGATCAGTAGACATCGAGTGTGACCAAGAGGGTGTGCAGACAATAGTGACAAACTCAATTTGGACCAATAAGCTTAGGAAACGCATGCGGAACCTTGGCTGGGAGGATTTGCAAACCTTGGAGAGTCTGACGCGGTGAGCCGGTTACCAGGCACATTCACCTCGAAACTTTGGCGATGAACTTACATAACTGCACGGGGATTCTAATACAGCATTTGTTATGTAGTGGTTGATAAATACTAGGTTGACTTGGTCATCGACCTAGTCGACTAGGATCCTAGACTCTAACTCTGAAAAGTGTTCAAAAAACGATTCGAACAATCTCACTGCGAGCTCAACATCGTAAACGCCACCGGTCTCTCTGATAGAATGCATGGAAAGCTGTGGGTTCCCAATGTCAATCGTACGTGTGCCTAGAGCGCTCGAGAGCATGGGACCAATTGTGCTTCCACAGGATGAATCGTTGCGAACGACGAAGAGTTGGAGCGGGACTCCAGGAGACGATGCCGGGTCTTGACTTGGTTTTGCCCGACGAGCAACCTCCTGCAAAAGAACGATACCTGGAGAGTTTGTTGTGTACCGTTGGTTTGCATTGACCTTAATAACGGGGCCCTTGTTCATCTCAGGGCGGTGGTCGGATTCGTACTTATGGATGTAGTTGGGGTTAACCGAGTGTGCCATATCAGCGGAAATAATGAATGAGGTCGAAAGTGTCTGTTCGTAAGCTGTAGCAATGTCCAGCTCGGCTTCTCTGTGCACCTTGTCATATGAATTGTCCGATGCTGCATCATAAATAGCGGCGGGAAGGACGGATAGGCGCTTCAGAACTGCTGGAAGGAAATTCGAATTCGCGCCATGCGCGCTCGTGCTACCAACCTCTTCATGATCGAAACATGATATGAGTCGAATGGTGGAATCGTCATCAAGGGATGATGGCGATGAGACCGAAGTGATCAGTCCCTCGACAGCGGTATAGGTCATCCCAAGGTTGTCGAGTCTAGCAGAGAAGATTAACTCGTTATTAATACCACCGATACATCCTTTCTGGGTATCATAAAGCACCATCTCAAAGTCCACCACATCCTCAGGATCCACCCCGGCGTGTTCTGCAATAATTTCAACCACGTATGGATGATGGCGGTCTGAGAGGACTTTGAGCGGTCGGAAAGGCCCGTCGACCTCGTCCTGCTGCTTCTCCAGCTCAGATATCTTCTCGTCGCCCTTTGATCCAATTCTGTTGAGTTCAGCCGCCACTAAGCCAGCGATTGGGAAGAGTTCAGTCTCCTTGTTCGGGTCGAATACGCTGGCACGCTCGAGATGGATAGCTAACGTCGGGATGCGCAATATTGGCCTGTCGACCTTAATGAGCTTCTGGACATAGTTCCCTTTCCCATCCTTAACCATCGCCCTTCCCGCGATACTAAGATCTCGATCGAACCATGTATGCCAGATTCCCCCGCCATAAGTCTCGACACCGACTTGCATGAATCCAGCACCCGTCTTCTTGCTCACAGGCTTAAGGCGAAGGGTACACGAATCGGTGTGTGCGGCAACCATGCCAATTGGATTACCAGCCTTCCATTTCTTCCCTATAGCAAATGCGATAATTGAGGAGCCGTTCCTTGTCAGGTAGTATTTGCCGCCGGGTTGCAGGCTCGAGGACCAGCTATCTCGCTCTTTGATTTCTTCAAACCCGGCTTTCGCGAGTCGTTGCACCGCGCAATGAACCGCATGGTAGGCTAAAGATTGTTAATAGTCAGATCTGTATCACTTGATTGAATATAACGTACGAGTTGGGGAGTCGTTGACGAAGTCGACGAAGTCTTGTGCTTTAGCAACTGCAGATGAGAGCTTTCTAGAAGACATTATGAATGTTTTTTTAGTGGCGCACAATCCAATAAAGCTCCTGGGTATCCTGCTGCAGTTATAATGAAGCGTGATGACTGGTCTTGCAAACATTTATGGTTTTATGGGTTATTGTGTCGTCGGAACCAGCGAGCTCCAGAGGTATGCATCCATTACATCGGCGTGTATGCCTGGTCTCTCAGGCTCAAAGATATAACACCAAAACAATACCGACGACATATAGGTAAGGTAAGCTAGGTAGGTAGGTAAGGTAAAGTAGGTAGGTATGCTAGTATTGTAGCTTTCAAGCCCAATTGTACTTCTTGGAAAAGAGCTCGAATTGTGCATAGAACTTTTGATATCTATATACACCTAAAATTCCTACAAGCTGGCTCCCTATGTGGGCTTTTTGATTGAACTTAAAAGCTGTTTTCACACGCCATCCCCGACATGTCGTAATCTGTTCCCTGTATCCAGACCATCATCTATATGGTCTTCGTCTCCTAACCCCGTCCGTTTTCCTTCCCAAAACCCCAAGCCCAGCCCAGTCCGAATGATAAGAATTTTACTCCTTCCAGCGAAATAAATAACTGTGAGAACACCAAAACCGTGCCCCACCTTCCCGAAAGCTCGCCAATAGCTCGAATGCTCCATATCCAAACATAAAAAAAACCAGATCCGTCATATCATGTCAAGCCGTCGTCGGCCAATCTAGCCATATCAGGCGTATATATATATGTATAGATTTCTCTTCGATCGCTGCACCACTTAGGCGCATGCTTTAAAGCATCTCGCAGAGGCATATTTCTCAAACTTGTGGAAATAGCGTATAGCTGCCCCTTTTCTTATCGCTAGGTCGATGTACTGCACCTCCAACGGTTGAGGCAGCCCTAGCACGGGGCGGAACTGCACCAACAAATGTGCTCAGAACAGGCGCCGAGATGTTTCTACCGTGTGCAAATCCAGTCGTCTCTTTCGGAGGACTAATGAACGATTCCGCTACTGGGCTCAGATCAACGTGATCCTTTTCATTGAGAAGGTTCGGCGGTAGCGCAGAGCGATTGCCACCGCTTCGTGGAACTTGCTCTTGCATAAGACTTTTGTATCGTCGGTGCCGCATAGATGGCACATCATTTACATCTGGACCCGGTGCTGCAGCTTCGCCGGGGTCATATCTTTCTTCCAAGTTCAACATACTGACGCTCGCGGTGAGGGCATGAGTCTTCTCAAACTTGCGCGGCATAGCAGGAGTAAGATCTGGCAATGAGGATGATGAACTGCGGTGCAGTTGATCGAGGCTTCCAGAACAACTAAGCAGCATGATAGAATCTTGGCTACCCCTGGAGGTGGGGGCAGAAGTTCGAGTGCTGGACGAACTTCGTGCTGAACGTCGAGAGAACTCTGAGGAGCGATATGACGCGGTGCTTGAAGTAATTTCATCTATAGGAGAAAAGCTGCAAGGCTCCGGCACGAACATCGATGCAGAAGTAGCGTTACTGTTATAATGCTCTTCGTATAGTGCTTCTTGATCCATCTGAGATTGGAAGTCGTTCGGGATAAGTAATGATGGCGACAAATGAAAACCATGGGATTCCTTGAAAGAAGATGCGTGGGACGGTGAACGAGAATGATTTGGCCGAAGAAAGTTAGATGGTGTACGGGGGTCAGATGAAGCTGCGGAGATATTGGACATTGGGGACAATTCAGGGATCTCCAAGGAGGAAGGGACGAGAAGGGAAGGTCTAAAACGACCATGATAGATGGACTGGTTGTCATCCTCTAGGTGGAGATCCAACGCCGGCTGTTCAGCATTGGTTGATTGGCTTGCATCAGTAGTGGTAGTATTGTCATCTTCATCAATTGAGTGACGCTCCCATTGATAATCGCAATCGGCCTCAGCCTCGTGATCGTAAGCGTAGTCAATAGCGTTGTCCCACGAATCTAATCCAGCTGATGGCGGTGGTACCATAGAAGCGGCATCCGATTCGTTGGAGAGAGTCTCTTGAGCCTGAGATTTGAGCCGAAGCGCTGGAACGGATTGAGACGCTTTCAATTCTCCGCTTACGGAGGATATCCTTGACCGTCGTCTCGTTGCTAAATCTTCCTCTTCCTCTTGCACATCGGTAAGCTCAGTTCCTCCAAAGGTTCCGGATGGCGACGAGGCCAATGGCCACGCCTCATCCCCGGGTGTTGTCACGGCATGTGACGCTGGTCGCTCGGCAAAGTACTCTTGCTGCTCACTCCATGTGCTTTGTTGTGGTGGTGGTGGTGTCAGTAATCCAAATGGCGCTGGTTTCCGAAAGCCACAATTCGTCTGTGGCCGCTCAATGGTGGTGGTTGCTAACGGATCGAATGTTTCCAGAAGAACCGAGGCTGTCCGAGAAGATGTCCTAGCAGGTAGAGCGACTGGGCAACTCGGGGATAAAGAGGACCGGGATGATCTCAAATTGTCATGTGATTGAGCATGCTTGATGCGTTCGCGTTGTGGCTGGATATCAGACTCTTCTGAGGGCATTGATGGGGCAGTCAGCGTCTCGGAAGAGAAATTCTCGAAGTGCAAATCTTGTGCCCTTATGCCTTTCAATTCACCATGGGACGGCGCCTGTGAAGCTCGGATGGCAGAGAACTCCGATAACAACTCCATATGCGTAGTTCTTTGCAGGTTTGGTAAATGAGTGTGTCGCGTATGGGTGACATGCTGGAAGTTGAATGGACTGGAAATATAATGTCGCGCTCGAGGTTCATGAGAACTTGTCATAGTTCCGCGACGAGAATGGCCGCCGTGGTAACGATCCTTTGCCGATGCTTCCCGTCTGATATCCTCCCCGATCGCAAGTGATGATGCCGAACGTCCATGAAGATTGTCTCCATGTGTGTCCCTCTTCTTTCTTCGAGAGAATATTGACTTCCCAAATATTTGGATGCTTTCAGGCCTATCCCAGGCAGAAGGCATGGTGGTTCCTCTCGATCTTGCTGATAGCTGTCGAGACAGGACCGGGTTATCCGTAGAGGACTCGCGTGAGCGAGAGGAAGCCGTAGATGAAGTGAGTGTATTCGTTCTAGAGTTGTTACCAAAAATTGAGCTCCTCTTCATCTGCTCCGTATAGGCACGTATACCTTCGGGCGAAGGTGGTCCATCCATGGCAGGCTCAAGGGATTCCGCCGACGGTATGTGGTCTTTAGGTGGAGGCAAGGGCTTGGCTTCTTTTGAAGACCGCATTATTTGTGCGGCGCTCTCGTTCGGCAAATGCATGAACAGGGTAATTGTAGGAATGACAGTTGTCGGGGCGCGAAGAGATAGATCGTGGTGGGCCTAGAATGTCTATATACGCCAGCTTATGGGTTACACCAGGTTCTCCTGGAACCTGAAGAATCATATATGGGCGGGACAATTGAGCGTATTAGACGCGTGCCAGCTCATAGGATGTGTGACAAGATAACTTTTGGTGTATTAGACAGACTGAAGTGTTCTCAGAATACGCCGCAGCCAGAAGGAGGCCTTGGTATTTGAGTTATAGTTCTTCGAGTATAGTGGTTGATGGGCGGACATTCGAGGAAATGATGAATTCTAGGGAGAAGCGATCAGCAGGTGCCATGTGTATTCCAATACTATAAGACCTTGGGGCCCAGATTGAGGAGAAATTCGGTGTGGAGGGACTTTGTGCGACATATAGGCTAGGATTAGACGTTAAGAGGGAGTTGTGAAGTCGAATGTCACTGGTACGTCCTGGCAACCAGTCCACTGCTCCCCGAGTAGAATTGAGGTGGCTTAGGAGTCTTATACAACCAGACATACCTGGAATGAAAGTTGTTGGTCTCAATGCACCATGCTAACAATGGCAATCTGTTGCACTCTGGGCCGGCCGGGCAATTGGGATGCGCTGGAGAGTTGGTGCAACCGAGCGATGGCTTTCACTTGAGGTTTCTCGCTGTACAAGGCGCCGATGTACTTGAAATGTATGGAAAGCAGACTGTCTTCAATGCAAGGATGGAAGTAGGAACCGTATGAAAGGTATGAAGGGTAAACAAGGTGCAAAAGAAGGCTGAGCGTATGCGGTATCAAGATGGGGCCTCGTTCCTGACACTGGTACCAGCGTGGCTTGAGAGTAGAGGATGATTCTTAATATTGCGGAGGGCGACGAGGAGCAGGAGCTTCCTTCGACCTCTCTCAGAGATTTGCTAAGAGCACTGATTCCACCACGACCTGTGCGTTCTCATGCTTTCCGCGCCCGTTTTGGACGGACCTGGGCCAATCCCGCCGGTCCCAGATGTTGGGTCCCTCGCCTCGATTTGCAAGGAGGGCCATGAAGCCGAAGTGATGGACCCCGAAGGGATGTTGCCGTCGTCAGATTCGTCGAATGGCAACCCAGTCTATTCCCAGGGGCCGCGATGCACAGAGCTTCATGGATCTGCCCTGGAGATATTGAGGAGACGCGGTCGATGTGGGCCGGCCCAGGCGGAGACGGCATATTGATTGGGCACTTTTAGCCAGGAACCCGCTCGCGCTCCATAGCTTCGAGATTCTCTTGCTGCAGGAGATCCCGCCAAATCGTTCTCCTGGCCCTGTCGTGAATCGTGATACCATCTCATCGCCATCCCGCTGGCCGTGGAGGCCCCCCCCCCCCCCCCCCCCCTTTAGGGCCTGCGAAGTACGAAGTAAGGGGGCCCGCTAGTTGAAGGGATTTCCGAAGTATGAAAGTTGAAACGTTCTTTTGGATTCCTAGCGTTGGATAGCGAAGTCCGTAAGATAGAGGCATCTATCTGCTCGCGGAGTAGTGGGAGCGTGGAGAAGAGGGAAGACGTTGTCGTGGTCGTCGCTATTCGGAAGTTCAGACTTCAGACTACTTCTCGCCGGGGTTACAAAGCATCCCGCGTCAACAGCAACCACGTTAGCGGTCGTCGTACGGATGAGGATCTCTCCTCAAAACGTGTCTACCAGAGCACAATTCGTATTTCAACTCTCCTCCAGACTTGTGTTTCGTCTCTTGCAAACCCTATGATTGTGCTATTATTTGTTCCTGCTCTAGAGCCATTGTTCAGAGCCTCCCCAGCGGTGTACCTAACAAAAGTACAGTACAGTAGCTCCAACATCAGTGCGTCGATGGCCATAACGGCGTCTCCCTTCAGGCTTCAACTGATGCAAAGCCGCAGACATTTCCCACACGGTGCCGTCGCCGTCAATCCCATGGCAGCGGGACGGTTGAACCGCTGTACGGCACCTTTCCCTTTCGATACAAAGCCGTCCCTGGTACCCCTGATGGCGTAGGGGACGGGCAGTTGAATTTGGGCATGAGGCACCTGCATGGGAGCTGGGTGGAAAATAACTGGATGCTCCCAGTGCCCACAACAGTACGGAGTACGGAGTGCTACGGAGTGGCGTCCCGAATCACGATCTCCCTACTCCCTACCGTCGTCACATCGCGGATGGTTTCTGCCGTCACTGCCAGAGCACGTTTCTCTGTATACGGTGCTCAGAGTGCTCAGGTTGTGGTGGGTGGTGGGTGGTGGTGAAGAACGTGTTCCCTCGTGAGATCAGTCTGACCGGCGGTCAGTCGTCGGTGGCCACCGACCACGAGAGCCACAAGGCTGCATCAGACATCAAGTCCTGTACATGTACGCAGCACCCCGTACAGGTACATAGTGTTCCTTCGGGTACTTCACCTCGCTCTTCCAATCTGCAAAAAGGGCCCCCTCATGCAGTAGTCTGCTCCTCGCCAGGGTGACCCTTGTGAAATTCGCTCATTGGATCCAGTCACCCCGGATACCCAACAGGCTACAGCCTTCCGTCTACAGCTCGGAAGCTCCCTGGAGCAGTGGAGATCCCTACTATTTCTATACGTCGGTAGGAGCTATACGAAATAACAAAGCCGCGGATGCATGAGCCAGAGTATCAGCGTACTGGCCCTATCGGCCTGCCCTTCTTTCTCGGAGGCCTAAGAAGGTATCCAAGACATCCATTCCCTTGGTATGATTAGTTGGTGCTCTTCTCCTCCTTTCTCTACTCCGTACGGAGTAGGAGGAACACCGAAGAGAAGGGAAAACCTCGAGGGGATCCCATCAGACCCCTGATTCCTAAGGCAGTAAGGTTGCCGACGCAAGCGTACGAGCTCCAGACTCCACCCAGTCAAAACTCGATAATGCCTGGAAAATCATGAATAATGCCAGTAACAGATCCGTCCCACGAACTTGAGCATTGCGAAAGGATTGGCATTCGTGCAATTGAGCGGTTGGCGTTAGAAATGCTAGTGGCTAGAGGATGTGACGATAAGGCGTGGAATGTCGCTCCTACATCAGAGGTTGTCACGATAATACATCCGTTATGCACAGGACCACAGCATAACCGATGACAAACCCGGAAGAGCAATGATCAACCAGGGGTAGCTTTTGGTAACTTTTGGTAACTTTTGACCGTGGCTTTTGAATGGCAGAAGACAGACCTTAGTTACCGACGAGATGCTGTAGGAGTGTGGCACAGCGGCACAGACAAGATGACACCTCAAGAGGCTCAGATTGAGTTTCCCACCGTTTGCACCAGTCTCCAGAAGGCTGATAGCGGAAACCTGGGCGGGCCTCCTTGAAGAACTGGAACGAAAACGTTTTCTGAATATTTATATACAACATATACACCTCCGAATCAACGACTATCAGGGGGCCAAGTAGTAAGTAGCTGACTGGTTCTTCTTCTCCGAAGATACATGGAAGTTTGTCGACGAGAAAGCATGGCAACAGTACCCTAGGTACAGTTCTGTACATTGTCTGGGTATGTCACATGATCAAAATCCTCCCTGATCAACACCGGGCTAGAACTTTAACGGCAAGCCACACTATCTACAGCTCTGTACATTAATTACCAGCTGTACTGTACTGTAAATAGATAGCAAGGCTATCTAGATCACCTATGGAGCATATCTATTCTAATTCGCTCTCAGATCGAGACTTATGTAATGATGCACTTATCTCATCTCCTTACCATCCTTTTCTTCTTCTCTCGAGTTTGAGAGGCTCCTCGCGATAGAACACGCATACCATCACCCCTCGGGAGACTTCTCAGCCATGCAGACAACCGAACGTCCAGACTTGATTCACAAGCTCACAGTTGCGAAACGTCCACCGCTTTAGTGCTTCACACGCAGAGCTCACCCGCATCTCGAATCACAAGCTTGTATCGGGGGAGAAGAAACAAAAAGAAATTCAAAGGGAAAAAAGCAATGTGGAAGTCTTACGTATGTATCTGTATACATTACCCCGCCGGCTTCCCTCGACCCGAGTGGCCAGGACAGCAGCCATTCTGCGACCCTGCGATCTCCTGCGACCTCCTGCGGCCTCCTGCGGAGACCGCGGTTCCTGATTCACATTTATTTTCTTCGCCCGCACGGATGTCGATGTCTGTTCTCACGACGCCCAGCTGCGATCATGCGTTCGACGGAACTTCTACCCTATCTAGAGTTGCGAAACCGAGGCGGCAGACCGATTTCTTCAAATACCGGCAGAGATCTACGGTTGGGGGGTTCGCCTCGGTTTTTTATCGATTGCAAAAGCCAGCTGGGTTGTTATGCATCCCGAGACAAGGTCCGGAGTTGTAGGATATGTACGAGCCAAGGGTTTCGAGATCTCCTTCATTTCTTTCATTATTATTCTTCGCTGCGATTGGAGAGGATTTAGTGTAGACAATGCCTAGATGTCTAGGTATACTGAAGACCTCGGTTCGAGAGATGTCTCAGTCTGACAGCAGTAGCACGACCGAGCAAGCACAAAACACGCTCTGCGCATGCACAAGTCTATATCCCTTCTACCTAGGTAATATCGCGGTTAATAGAGTACTCGCTCTTTATCGAATTGCAAAACCTTGTAAAAATCAAGGCAAGGGACAAAGGGGAATAAAATCCCCCTTTGAGCAATTATCCCAGAAATCCAACGCGGATCGCTCTGCCCTGAGCCCATACCCGAACCCTCTCCCGCTCATCCCTCCATCCCTCTATCATTCAGACATACAGTACTGTATCCGTGTTCTTTGAGCACGTAAACCCCGACCTCTCTGAGCACCTCGCCTACCGCCCTGCCCCGGAGGCGCTGATCTTCCCGTCCGGACGACGGCTCTATCCGACACACCTCCACAAATCAACAGCTTTCGGAACCATCCATCCATCCATCCATCTATCGCCGCCCATCTATCTATCTATCTATCTATCGACCTGCAAACATCCTTCCCAAGAATAAATAATAGCACATTATAAAAAGAAACCCACGCGCTCCGTACCCCCACCCATCCTTATCACTCACGGAAAAAGATCCCTCTTACAGTACCTACTTTACTTTACTTACTTGTAGAAGAAGAAAGAAGAAGAAAACATGAAGAAGGCTCGGCTTGGTTTGGCTTCATGCTGGAAGGGAAGGAAAGCGAGCGAGCATTAGCCAGCCCCACGGTCATCCAGTCAGTCTACGGCGCATGTATGTGACCTACCTTACGTACGTACGTACCTAAATAAACAAAAGCCTCCCATCCTGCATACTTCCAAATCCCGAGATTCAAAAACAAAACATTTCTTTTTCTTTTTCTTCGCGTTGCTTAGCCACGTTTAGGATGCTGTCCGATGATGCTCTCTCTGCTTTTTGTTTTCCGGCGAGAGAAGAAAGGAAAGCTACATACAGGATGGTGTCCGTAGGGAAACAATAATAACAATAGAAATGGAGTATGATTGGATGGTAATCACGTAGCACAGAGAGAGACAAACAAACAATTCATTAACAGAAGCAATGTCTTCTTCTCATACCGACTTGCACTGCGCGGGTTTATCATCTAGCACTTTATGATATATCTCAAATGCCCCACTGTAATAACCCCGCCATGCCTTTTGATTTCAAATTCCCGAATAGTAAGTAACTAGTATACAAACATGACCTATCATCTCCCGTGATCCCCTAGCTGCCGTCCGAGGATGAAACTCCCTTCCTACGGTGTGTGCTAAATTCCTGGATGGGGTGGCGAGACTAATAGAAATCCATTCGCTTTGTTGTGCTAGGTAATAGGACGATTTCATTGGAAAAGCAGATTCGCGCCTATTCATCATCTGAATCGACGGCTGGAGTATCTGCCATGGGAGTATCCTCGTTGGCACCATTCGCTGTTTCTGGAGAATCATCCTTGGCTGGCGAGTCCTCCTGAGCTGGTTCTGGTGCCGGAGCAGCGTTTTCATCCTCATCTTCGTCGTCTGATTCCTCGATTCTCGCCCTCTTGTTCTTGCGCTTGATGGGGACAGAGACTGTTTCCTCATCGCTAGCAGCATCAGCAGCAGCAGGCTCATCTTCTCCAAAGATATCGGTATCCATTTCCTTTGCAGCTTCTGCAGCTCCATCATCCCCTTCGCTGTCACTGTCAACCACAATCTCGCTGCTCAGCTTGTACTTGCTGGGCTTTTCACCTCCCTTCTTGGCCAATCTTCTCTTCTTCTTCGGTTTCTCCTCATCACTGTCCACACCGCTTCCTCGTGACTTGGCGCGACTCTTTCTCTTGGGTTCTGCACCGCTGCCTTCATCATCCGTGATACCATCCTCGTTCTTCTTCTTGCGCTTCCCACCCGCACCACCTCTAGGCTTCTTCTTCCTCTTCACCTTCTCACCCGTCTCACTATCAGTAGTCATCTCTGCTGCCTCCCTTGCTCTATCCTCCTCAGCCCTCGCCTCAGCAAGCTCACGATCTCGTTCAGCAATCCTCTGTCGCTCTTCAGCAATCTTCCGCTTTCTTTCTTGTTCGGCCTCTTCGGCGGCCCTCCTCAGCTCGTCGCGCTTCTTGATTTCTGCATCTCGTTGCTGCTTCGCAGCTTGTAATTTCTCGGCATTCTTCTCTTCGTATTCCTTCTGGGCTTGGATCGAACGCTCGAGCTGGCGACGCATGGTATTTCGAGCCATGTTTGCTCGCTGCTCGATATCATGCTTTGGATATGGTGTTTGGGGATGCTGAGCGATGGCCTCCAGGGATTCGATAGCCTCCTCAAGTCCGGCGGCGGCAGCCTGAAGTTCGGCTAGTGTTCGCTGCGTTTCAGGCATGCCGTACACTGTAGCTGCTAATTGCATTTGGACAAAGGCCACGTTAAACTTGAAATGGGTTTGTTCGGGGGCAACCTCGAGGGCCTGTATGCATTAGGAGCCAGTCGAGAACTTAAAAGGATACGAGACCAACCTTCTGAGAATAATCAAGGGCATTCTTGAATGCCTGTAAATTCTTTTCTGCCCTACCCTTTGCCAACCATGTCCGTCCCAAGCAAGCCAGGATCTGTGCATCATGAGACCTGTCTTTCGACAGTGCAGCCTCGTAATGCTCGATAGCCTTCGTATATTGTCGCAGCTCGGCGAAAATATGTCCAAGATTGACATAGACGCTATGGTCCTTAACGGTATCTCGAACCTTCACGAATATCGACAGGGCGGTCTTGAAATCCTTCTTGTCTTCCACGAGCGCAATAGCAATTCCCTGGGCAGCATACGCATTCTTCGGGTCCAGTTGCAAAGCCTTGTCAAAGAACTCGACAGCCTTGATGTACATATTGCTTCGCTTCTGTTTCTCCTGCTCGGTGTCTCGACGCATCTCGCGTGCAGTCATCAGATAGAGATTCCCCATTCCAATCAAAGCGTATCTATCGTGCTTCTCATAGTGCTGGAGAGTGTGTTTGTAATGTCGCAATTCAGGATCTTCTTGTATATTGCCAGTTCGCTTTCGAGAATGCACTCGACCCAGATACCAACCCCACAGTGCTCGCACTTCAAGATCAGCAGATGAATCTTCGTAGAGTTTGGAAATTGTCTTGGGTCCTTCCTCAGTTGGACTTTGGCGCAGGGCAATGTATGCCAGCCGCGTTCTGGCATCTGTGTAGTCAGGATGACGGCCTAACAAGCCTTCATAGACAGTATTCGCGTCATCAAGCAGCCCACTCGCTTCGTATGTTCGGCCAAGATTGAAACTGATAGTTGTGACCAAAGCATCACTGTCCATTTCCTCTTGCTTCTCGCCAACCTTGATGCAGGCACTCAAAGCAGCTTGGAACATCTCCCGAGCCTGGTCATACTTCTCGGCTTGATAGTAGAAGCACCCCATGTTATTCAATAGTTGAGGTGGAAGTCCCTCTCGAATGGAGTTCTTGAAGGCGGCCTCATCCTCAGGATTCTGTGGTCTCTCGTCTTCAGGAATTTGGTCGTACTCAATTTGCTCAACTTGTTGCAAGCATTGCAGACTCTTGTCGGGTTGCTCGGTCTCGTAGAGTCTTGCGAGGTTCAGCAGCACCGAAGCATCAGGAATGAGGTTCTTCTTGGGGTCTTTCCAGGCCGTCCGAACAGCCTCCAAATATCCAATAGCCTTCTTGAATTCCGTGGACTTATCCTCCTTAACACCACTCTTCTGACTCGAGAATACTTCTTCCGCATATAAGGTCCCCAACAAGGTCATAGCCTCGATATTCTTTGACTGCTGGATAATCTTCTCCAGCCTCAACTTTGCTTCTCCAAAGTCGCCTTTCAATACTGACAGCTGAGCGGCGCCAAACTTAGCTGGCAGAAAACCTCGGTCAATGCCGCCTCTGGCCTCGTCAGCTCGCCCGTAGTAATCTCTGGCAAGCTCGTAGTTCTCCTCGTAGTGTTCTTTTCGGGCCAAAAGATACCATCCATCGCTTGCAATCGCATTGACATCCGTGTACTGGATGGCCTTGTGTGCAAGATTGTCTACATTTGGCAACGACTTCCGTGATAAGAAGTATCCTGCAAAAGTAGCGCAGGTCAGAGGAAGGTCTTTGTCGGCCTTGAAAGCCTTTTGAGTGTAAACCGTCATGGCTGTCCTGTAGAGATTGATGAATTCCGGGCTGTTTGTAGGAACGTGTGCGCTCGAATCAAGGTAGAAGAGGCCGAGAAGAATATTCGCGATCTTCGAGTCGGGGTTAATCTCCAAAGCGCGTTCCCATGCCGTCTTCGCATCCTCCTTGAATCCAAGCTGCCAGAAACAACATCCGATTCCTATCCGTGGATCGGGGTCTATCAGGTCTGGCATCTTGTGCAAAGCTTCCTGGTATCCTTCCAAGGCTTCCGCATACTTGCCAAGAGAAAATAATGCCCTCGACTTCCCTAAGACCGCCATCATGTTTCTGCCTTGTGAGACTCGAATCGCGTCTTCGAATGACTTCAGCGAGGCGCGTAGGATCTCGGTCTTCTCTGGATCGACTGCGCCAGGAGCAGCAGATTTCGAGGGTGGTTGCAAAGAGGCCTTAAGCAGCTGCAGGACGCCGCGAGCCAGAAAGAGGGGTGGAAACGCCGGATTGATTCGCAAAGCTTCATTCAGCGTCGATGTTGAAAGCTGTAGATAGTACTCCTTCGTCTTGGCCTCTGAGACCAAGGCTCCCTCGGGCGCAATTCGAGGCGCCTCTCTGCTCTTCCACAAGTACATCCAGCAGAGGCAGCTGAGCATACTAAGCTTCTCTTTTTGCCCGCCTTTCATGGCTTGCCCTCCCTTTATAAGCATCTCGATTGCATGGTCGACTTTCTTCTGCTTGGCGTATGCGAGGGAGACAGTCATCCAGTATGTGCGCGCTGCACCCTCATTCTCCAACAGTGTACACAGCTCGGTCGGATCATCGAGAAGATCCTCTAGATCAACTTCGACGGCTTGGTCGTCATCTTCGCCTTGGACGGGAATGTCGATGGCGGAAGGGATATCGGAGAAACGCTTGCTGGTCATTCGCGTTGCTGGAGATGATTGAACAGCGCCATAGCCATTCGCTCCTCCATTCACATGACCATTGGTTGCTGCCATCTTGCAAATTGGTTCGAAGCAGATGGCCAGTTGAAGAGGGTTCGAAAGTCGAGGCTGCTAGAAGGCGCGTCGACGCGCAAGATCGTAGCTGAGACTAGCTACGAAGAATGGATCATCTGATCAGCTCTGGATGTTGTGCCAGGGCAGTAGAAGATAGTTAGCGCGTCTCTGATAATTTGAAGTCGCAAGAAAGCTGTGCAATATGAGGATTGAAGACGGTCGCAGTGAGACGATTGTCAACTTCGAATTTCGACACTCACCAGCTCCCTGCGACGTCTAACCCATGTAGTTCTAGCGTAAACGCTAGGCCGTATCTGGCTCTCACAACACCACGTCGCCTACCGAGCCGAGAACGTGAGAGAGCAGAGAAATGCAAAGACGAAAAGTGAACAATTTGCAAATTATGGAAACAGAAGAGGATAATGCATATTGGCTGACCTAGCCGAATGTGGAATACTGGATTCAATAGCCTTGTATGCTCTCCAGGATAAACTTATCTCAAGCAAGCTAGGTATGAGGCTCGACCCAAATTCCAGTCATCATCCACTGAAGCTCATTGGCGGCATCTCATTCAGCTTTGAGCGGTGGATCTTCGCGTTCATATCAACCGTTACTCACGGTTTGAATAGTCAACTAGTTTGCTGCTCATCCAGAGACCAATGAAAACCAGAATTCATGAATCTCTCATTGATACCTATATTACATACAGTACAGTACAATCTAGGTGAGGCATTAGCTGGCAGTGCCGTAAGCCACCTCGAGACAAGACATCCATGCTCTCCTCGTTATTTCTTTCCATGCGCAAACGCCTCTCACTGTACCAAAGCCAAACAAGCATAGGCAAAGCATCCAGTATGCAACTCCAGCCTCCAATACACCATTGCAAAACCAATACCACGATCCGCATCCCCATTCAGTAATATCAATCATCATCATCACTCTGAACACCGCTACTTCCGCCATTGGCATATTGAGAATTGTTGAAAGTAAGCTTCAGTTTTCCACTGTTGCCAGTGCTTGGCAATGGGGTACCGGCGTTCGTAGTTGGAGCAGTTGAGCCGCCATTGCGGGATGAATCGTCTTGATCACCAAGCTCGGGATGTTCATTAAGCTCCTCACTGATACGGGACAAGCAAGCAGCCTAAGACAGGTTAGCAATTGCAAGAGTAGTGTAACATATTTAAAAACTTACTTCTATTGCAACAGCATCAACATAGATCATGCTGCCGTCTTCATTGTACGTCTTGGCGTTGTTGCAAAGGAGCTGTATATCTTTCTTCAGATCGTTGAGACTCGAGTACTCTTCCTTCTTTATCTTCCTCTCGATCATCTTCATGGAGATCGGTTGGCTGATGAACTTATAGTAATCAGGGAAATCCTTCCTCGATGGGAGATTAACGAAGGGTCCGATGATGAGACGAGGGCCTTCATCTTCCTCGTCCTTGGAATCCTCATCATCGGAAGCAGATTCAAGGTTCATCAAACTATCATAAACAGTTTTCAAGCTGGCCTGAAGAGCAGCGCGGTTTTTGTCACCGGTCGATGCGCCGGCTTTGGGACGACCAGGGCCACCGCGCTTTCGCTTGGCGGGCGGCTCATCATCAAGATCGTCAGCCTTGCGCTTGTCAACCTTGCCAGCAGATTTCCGACCACGGCCCTTCTTCGGCGTTGGTTCGGGTTCCTCTGTACTGTCACGACTGCCCGCGGGGGAATTCTCAATGGAACCTGGAAGTTGGCCGAGTCTCTTGAGTCGGTTCTTTTCACGGCGTTCTTTCCGAGCTTGCTTCCGAGCGGCCGCAGCTTCCGGTGAATCTTCATCATCATCCACAGCATTCAACCACTGCTCTTCAGTGAGACCATCATCATACCTGACACGCGTCCGCTCTCGAGCACCACGGCCCTTTATTTCCTCGGGTTCGTCGGCGATTGGATTTCCGTCAGACAAGTAGATTTCAGGGAGCTCGGATTCCGCCATGAGTCGTGGGATTTTCTTGCTTCCCGCAACACTGCCGTAGATCGGATCCTTGGCCCTTGCTTCATCTATCTCCCTAAAGGCGGCAAGCTCTTCATCTGAACGAGCAAGGATCATGTTGAGATCTTCATCATCCATTTCCTCCTGCTCCATCGACTCAGCGGCCTCCGCAGTCTCCAGCATGACACGCAGCATAGCGTCACGATCTGTCTCAGATGACTTGTTATCGAAGCGACCAGCTTGAATAACTTTACCATCCATATCAAGCTTGAATTTGGCGCGCTCCAGAATCTTCTCCTCCACGGAGTTTGAACTGATGAGTCGCAGAATACGAACCTCATTCTTCTGACCAATACGATGTGCACGATCTTGGGCTTGCAGATCCTGATGAGGATTCCAATCGGAGTCGTAGATAATAACTGTATCAGCAGTCTGCAAGTTCAATCCGAGACCACCAGCACGCGTGGAGAGCAAGAACATAAAGTAAGGGGAGTCGGGAGCATTGAACTCGCGAAGAAGTTCAGAACGATCATCAGACTTCGTGGTACCATCCAACCGCAAGTATTGAATTCCACGGTAACGCAAATAATCCTCCATGATGTCCATGATAGCCGTCATTTGGAAGAACATTAGCACTCTGTGTCCAGTCTTCTGATATTTCGGCAGGATTCGGTCGAGCAGTTCAAATTTACCAGCTGTTCGCCAAAGCAGGTCATTACTTGTATTTGTCGGGTTCATTTGATTCTCGACTTCATCAAACACAAAGGGGTGGTTGCAAAGCTTTCGTAATTGCATGATCATGTTGCTCAGACCACGCGCCCCGGTTTTCCCACCCTGACCATCACTGACGACCAGCTTGTTGTGGGTAACCATTTGCTTGTAGAGACGAGCTTGAAGTGAGGAGAACTTGCACTTAATAACCTTCTCGGTCTTATCTGGCAAGTCCTTCTCGACATCTTTCTTGAGACGACGCAACAAGAATGGTCGCAAAACCTTGTGCAGACGACGAATGACGAGGATTTGTTCTTCTTCCGTCAACTCCATTTTATCCTGACCACCAGTGTTTGCAAAAGGTGTATTAAACCATTCATCAAAAGATTTGACTGATTTGAAAATGGTAGGAAGTACGAAGTTGAGGAGGGCCCACAGCTCAGGGAGGTTGTTTTGCAGCGGAGTTCCAGTGAGAATAAGACGGTATCTGGTGGAATAGTACTGAGTAAGAGTCGCGCTGAGCTTGGAGTTAGAATTTTTCATACGATGACCCTCATCAATGATCATGTGAATCCACTTGATCTTGCTCAAGATGGGTCTATCTTTGATGATGTACTCGTAAGTAGTCAAGAGAACCTGGAAGTTTCCATAACGGATTTGCTGCTGCTGTTGCTTTCGTGCCAAGGGAGGGCCTTTGTACACGACTCTTGAAATTGCTGGTGCCCATTTCTCGAATTCGAGATTCCAGTTAGTCAAAGTACTGAGAGGCACAATGACCAAGAAGGGACCATTCTGCTTCTTCTTCTCGATGAGATAGGTAAGTAAACTGATTGTCTGGATGGTTTTTCCGAGACCCATCTCATCGGCAAGGATACCGTTCAAGTTGTTGTTGTAGAGTGAGATCATCCACTGAAGACCCTTCAGCTGGTATTCCTTAAGCGTACCACCAACCAAGATTGAGGGTTGAGAAGTGATCTCTTCCTTGATGCGGTGAGCAACAGCATAGTAATCAATCTTTCTATTATCTTGCTCCTCGTCGCCGTCTTCATCAGACTCGTCATCTCTGAGAAACTCCTCGGCACCATCGCCATATCGCTCGGCAGCATTGCGCTGTTGCGCCTTGACGGAAGCTGCGAGCTGTGACAAAAAGCCATCGGTTTGTCTGAGAAGGTGAGTGATACGCGTATCTTTGGCTTGGTCGAGCAACTTCAAGTACGCCTCTTCATCGTTGGACTTCAAGGCTGCAAGACGTTGCTTCGCTGTTCGCTCGATTCTCTTCTGTTCTTCCTTTTCAATGTTCTGGTGTTGTGTTAACATCATGCGACCCAGCTTCTGCATCTTTTGTCTCTGGTTTTGCGCAGCTGTGTTGAGTTCTCTCGCATGGTTAAGGACCGTCTGGAGATAATCAGTGTGCTTCTTCTTCTCCCGGGACTCGCGAGCATCGCGTTGTTGCTTCTCCAATTTCTCGGTAATGCGCGCCTCCCGCAAGGACTGCTTCTTCATGCGGCGGTAGTGGCTACGGTTGGCAGTCATTGCTAGATTATCGTACTGGATCATCTGTCGACTGATCCTTTCCCGCATAGCTCTTTGCTTCGCATAGAGGCCCAACATCTTCATCTCGATGAGGGCCTTACGCTTCAAAGTGTCTTCCGGGGTGAGATCCTCGTTACGCGTATCCCAGTGTGCTACATTTGCAGGAAGAGACCTAAGTTCGGCCAACCGAGCTTGCATACGGTTGTACACAATGGTTTCCCGCTCGTTTCGAAGTTTCTCGACGTCAACGCCCGAAGGCATGATGCTTGGGATCATAGGCCGCATCTCTCTGTTATTGTGTGCAGAGTAGCTGATCTTGGCCATGAGTCCTGAACGGGGTGACTTGAAACCAATATACTCATGTTTCTTCATGGCAGTTGTGTCCTTGTCACCGGCCGCAGTATCAATGCCATCAGTCTGAGACTTCGCATCTTCTCCACCCGTGGCAGCAGCCTGAAGGGTCTGCTCAACAGCTGCCATCATCTTCTTTTGCTGGACAGCGAAGAGAGATTGCTGCACAGCCTGCGGGATCCCTTGATTCCTCGACAGGCATTTGAAAGCAAAAATCTGGTTCTTGAGTATGCTCAACTGCTCAGGAGAAAAGTAGCCACTGCCAGCGGTTGTGTTTCGCTGCACAGCGCCTTTGGCACCAGAAGCGGGTATAGCAGATGGCCCAAGAGATGTCGCAGTTGGCGCCTGAGTAGTCGGCGAGGAATTCGTAGGACCGGCAGTGCGTGCATTGATGCCATTCGGAGTCGCAGAACTCAATGCAGCATTTTGTTGTTGTTGTTGATGATTCAGCATCTGCTGTTGTTGTTGGGCAAAAGCAGCTCTCTGCTGATTGAAGATGCGTTGTTGTTGGATGTTCTGTTGCACGTTCTGGAGGTGGTTGTGGACTTTGATAAATTCAGGGTCGGTCTCCGAAACTCCTTGGTCTTTCATCTGCTTATACTTCTGTTGAACGTTAGTCTATATCCAAGATGCAATCAGGCTTTGAAGGACGCGAGGGGTTCCTACCAGATAAAGAGCCTTGATATCCTGGGGCGGCATGGGGGTGGGATTGCCGGGCTGCTGAGCAGCAGGGGCAGTCTGAACTGAAGCCATGCTGGCGCTTGCAATTCAGGACCCGGAATAGACTTTGGTAGATAGTTAAGCTTGACTGCGCATCAGGAGCGAGCCTTGCGCATCAGGTTGACGTGACGGAGAGGCCTCGATCGTAGGGCGCGAGCGCAAGTACGCGGTCCGCCACGAGCCTGAGCCAGTGGTGTTGGGGAGGTGAATCGCGGATGTCGTCGCGCGATAGAAAAGGGGGGTTGGCGCGTCTGTTGTTGACGGTTGACGCCTCGTGGGAGGTGGATGAGGCTTGGCGCGAAAGTCCCTTTGAGGTCGTGATGGTTTTGGTGACCAAATGGGCGACCTATTCGAGGGGAGCCTTGGGGCGATCGATCAAGCCGGGCGACGACGTGGTGGGCGAGTAAGCGCGCGGGTCACGACGTGTCGAGCGGTCGAGGTGGTTTACAATCCGTGAGGCTAGGGGAAAGGGGGGGTGGAGGGGGATTGGCGACAGAAGCGGTTCCTCGTTGATGGAATCTGGCTGTCGCGGCAAGATTGATGTGCTGTGTTCTGAGAAACTCTCGCCTGGAATCCAAAAATGCCACCGAGCGGATTCCTGAGCACGCTAGACGGCGCGCTATGCTACAACGGGACACGTAGGCGAGAACACGCTCCAGGATAAACGGGATCACGTGGACCCGGTTAGCATTGAAGGGCGCGGCCGAGATCAGCCTTGCGCGAAAGGCAAGGTACGCAATCATTTCATTTCAACTGACACCTGTCTCGCCGGCCTCCACCTCCCCGCACATCTAGCTCCTATGAAGAGGGCCCTGCATCCGGAGCTAGAGCTTACACTCTTTACAATCACTTGAATCCCTCGGCCAATCCCTAGCCGGGCGCAGGATCATGTATCATCTAGCAAAGGGGCTGTATTTGTACGCAACGAGTAAAGAAGGTTGGCTCAGTTCCTTCCGGCCCTCGTAGCCCCTTACTGACGTCTAATGCAGAGTACTCGGTTCTCCTCCTCGGCCTCGACAATGCCGGAAAGACCACGTTCCACGAGCAGGTCAAATCGCTCTTTCTTCCTAACAACCCCGCGCCGAAACTAAAGACTGTGCCGACGGTCGGGCAGAATGTCTCGACGATTACACTTCCGGACATGTACCTGAAGATCTGGGATGTGGGGGGCCAGCACAGCCTGCGCAAGCTGTGGCAGAGTTACTACAGCTCCTGCCACGCCATCGTCTTTATCATCGATAGCACGGACATCGGCGACGGCAATTTGGAGAACGATCGCAGTGGCAGGTTAGAGGAGTGCAGGCTGGTGTTGGAGGATGTCCTGCAACACTCGGAAACCGAGGGTGTGCCATTGCTAGTTTTGGCAAACAAGCAGGATAGGGAGGATTGTGTGGAAGTGGTAAGAATTAAAGAGGGCCTGGTGAAGAAGGTTTTTGAGGGCGAGAAAGGTGGCAGTATTAGGGACTCGAGGGTCTTGCCTGTGAGTGCGTTGACGGGGACGGGTGTGACGGAAGCGGTAGAGTGGGTGAGGAGCCGGGTTAAATGGAATAAGGAGGGGAGGCCTCCAGTTATGAGATGAAAGCGATCTGGTGTGAGGTTTTCTTCTGAAGTTAAACAGCGCGGCGTTCCGGTAAGGTTCTTATGAGATCAAAGGATAGATTACTCATGCAGCTCGGATTTTGAATACCATTTCATTCCATCCATCAATACCTGACCAGCTATTCTATACCAACACATTCTCTCAGAAGTCCCGTCTCGGTGTCCTGCACCAACCCAACAACCTGCATTCCCTTGAAGAACGAGCTCTCTCTCAGAAGTGCCACATCCTCCTTCACCGTCTCTTCCGGACTAGATTTCTTATCAGCAAGCGCATCCTACAACAGCAACCCCAGACAGAACTCACTCAGCAATCGCCCCAAACACCATCCCATCTATATCGTGCGCTTCCTCCGGGCCACTGGCTCTCTTCTTCAAACTCTCCTTGATCTGCTCTTCCGTCACATGGCACAATCCACAATCTCAAAAACCCATCTTTCTCAGTACGGTACCTCTCACCGGTGGAAAAGGGGACAGGGGGGGGAATATCTACCGGTATGATGAATAACCATAATCAGGCCCTTCTTACCTTCACCTCCAACCGCCGTGAGGACATATAATGAGCTCAGAGCGGGTCGCACTCGACCACCTGTTGTACGGACTACCGTTGCTTCTAAATCATAACATATCTTCAGTCAAGTTGGAACTCACACGAGTTTGAACCGCGAAATATCTACCCCCCCCCCCCCCCCCCCCCCCCCCCCCCCCCCCCCCCCCCCCCCCCCCCCCCCCCCC